GGTGGTGATTTGTATTTGTATGCTGTCGGTGGTGGTGATTTGTATTTGTATGCTGGCGGTGGTGGTGATTTGTATTTGTATGCCGGTGGTGGTGGTGATTTGTATTTGTACGCTGCCGGTGGTGGTGATTTGTATTTGTATGCTGTCGGTGGTGGTGATTTGTATTTATACGCTGGTGGTGGTGGTGATTTGTATTTGTATGCTGGCGGTGGTGGTGATTTGTATTTGTACGCTGGTGGTGGTGGTGATTATATTTGTACGCTGGTCGGTGGCGGAGATTTGTAGGAGTACTTCTTAGCTGGCGGCGGCGGTGACTTGTAGGAGTACTTCTTCACCGGCGGTGGCGGTGACTTGTAATGATAATGTGGATGCGCCACGTGTTTTGGTGGAGGTGGCGACTTGTATAGGTACGGCAAGTGCTTGTGGTAGTGAGCTGGCGGTGGCGGTGAGGCGTAAACATACGGCTTTTTGTTTGCCGTTGCACTAATGGCTACGAAGCAAAATACCAAGGCGAAAATGATCACAGACCGTTGGCTTATTAGGGTTCCCATTTAGAACCCTATTGCTTCTTATTTTTTTGCTTGGTGGATAATAAGGTATGGTTTTCGAGCCCTTTATATAGCAAGACGAGGAATAATTTTATTAATTTTTTTATTAATAGAAAACTTGAACCATTTCATTGCATGTTTTTCAACAATGAGATGATGGGCTCCAACTAATCTACTTTCCATTTCAATAATTAGCCTTTGAAGTATACATATTCCAGATTGTGACTTTGTATGATATGCTGTGTATATGCCCTTTCTGATGCTCCAAGTGTTTATATATACTTGCACGTTGTTAGTTTGAGAAATAGCACATTTTCTGTAAGGAAACAGTTTATATCTCTCTCCCTTTTTTTTTTTAACCATTTGAGGTATGCAAATACGGTTATCGCTACATTTGGTGAAATACATTAGGTAATTTTTCACGTTCGTCACACATATTTACATGCAAGCGTACACATCTATGGTTAGATATTACCCGATAAAGTTCACCGGGCGTTCTTGATTTTTGTTTGCATATTACATTTACTCACTCTCTTAGTAGGTGTCTGGCGTTGTGGTACGATAAATTATACAAACGAATTAAGAGGGCAACTTAGTGCTCATCACATCGATGCTTAGAGCAAGACTTGGTACAATACGAACTCATGTATGTATCGAAACACTTGAGAAAAACGCACCGACTTATTACAAGTAACGACCAACACCATATCAACGCCACGCATTTATCAAGAATCGTGGTAAATAAAATTAAAACTCTTCCACAAATATAAACAACTAGCATTTTTCCCCCTGCAATGCACGGAATAACATTTTAAAAATGAAAATAATGATTAGTTTATTACATGACAATAACAAATAAAATAAAACTTATTAGAAATACCAGTAATAATATCAATTTTATACATATTTAATAATACAAACTCATTTATATTTTTTTATATAAACTTAATTTGCATAATATGAAATTTATCATTAAATAAATGAATTAATTAATAAAGCAAAAATTATTAAAAATAAAATAAAATAAATGCAAAGATGCCATCAAACAAATAGGGTGTGAAATATGAATTTTTTTTTAAAAAAAGAAATAGGATTGAGAATTGTCCGGGCCATATTCGATGTGAAAATAATTATAAAAAGATCTTGTTGCAAAATAGGAAACAAATTTTTTTTTTTTTTACAAAAAATCCATTAGGATTTTTAGGTTGACTAGGGTTTCTTTCTTTTATATATACTTCCTTAATAACAGTTACAAGATTGGTTACGTCACTTTTGATTGGTTACGTATATGGCTTTTATATTAAAAATGATTCAGGAATTTCTTTGGATTTTCTCTGTGTGGTCGATCCAATATATGATTCTAGTTTGTTGGTTTAATGCTACAGCTTTAAGCAAATGAAGATAGAAAAATAATATATATACTTGAATATAGAGTTACAGATTTAGACAAAATAATTAATGGAAACAGTACAAATGAGAGCAATACATCAGAATATTTTCGAAGACCTTTACTTATTTGAAAAAAAAAAATAAAAAAAAAAATTGGTAAGATTATGGAAATATAGCCTTCTCAAGGAATTGAGTAGTCCCTTTGCAAT